CATCTTGTAACATCCATTAGAAAGAAGTGTGTATACCTCAAACCTCTTCCAAATGCCGTGGTGTGGAAGTTATATATGCTATATGCCCTGGTGACTCATTGACTAGGCCTAGTAATGCAATCTAACTAACTGCAGGGGTGCTGAGAACCTTTCCCAGAGTTCAGGAAGCAGAGGATAAGGTAGGTTAGAAAATAGTACTCATTACAGATCCATAAAACAGAACGGTATTTTATCATGAACACAAGCAGTGAGTATCTAAACACTACCAAAACTTTGTCTTCTATGTTATTCAAGATACACATATATTCCTCTCATGAAAATATAAACTTTCATAGCCAAGCTGAAGTCACTGATATGTGATCCTGATTATGCTATAAGGAAAATTTATTGTGCAAGCTTAGCATTATTTTTCTTAGCAATTTCAAGGTCATGAAGTTTCTACAACCACCATAGTCCCCCTCTCACTGAGAATCCACATCGTGATGCCAGTGGTGGGGCAGTCACCCATCACATCCCCACTGTTCACAAAGGCCTTCAAACACAGCTGGCAAACTGTGCTGGATCTGCCAGCTTCTCCCTCAGTGGGAAACTCTTTCTCAACCTCCGTTTGTAAATCGTATGCTGGTCGTTTCACCTAAGGGGCTATGCACTCCTCTTTCCATTTGCTAAACAATGTTTTAAAGAAAACTGCTGTGTGGTTTCTGTCTTGTTGAGAAAACGGTTCAATTCTTCCCACAGGTTTAAAGGGAGGCCTTGGGGCTCTTCACACATATGATTAATGGTCTAAACCCAGCTCCAGTCAATTCTGAGATGTTCACATATTGGCTTTCTAGAGGTGGAAAGGCACAAGAACCAACCATCACATAAAATTTACAGAACAATGAAATTCAAGTTCAAAACCAACAGACAATGGCATGTGGAAGCTGGGATCTGCAGGATAACAAGAGCTCCATGTCCAGAGAAAGACAGATGGTGAGGACTGCTCTGAGCCTCACACCTAGTGGAGGTGGCTTTCCGCATACTCAACAGAAATTTATGCTTAATTGGTTTGAAAACATAGATGAATAAAGGACATAGAAAATTAAAACTATATAGAGGGAGGGGCTGGGGCTCAATAGGTAAAATACTTACATGCAAAATTGAGGACCAGAATCTGGTTTCCCAGACCCCACATAAAGCTGGATATGGCAGTGTGTACCCCAGGGCTACTACAGGTAGACAGGAGGTGGAGACAGGCTAAGTCCTGGAAGCTTGCTGATCAGCCAGCCTGGCATATGAATCAATGACCTAGAGATCCTGTCTCAAACAATGTGAAAGGTGAGCACTGATACTCAATGCTGCCCTCTGACCATGACATGCACATTATTGTGTGTGTGTGCCCACATTCACATACACAAACATGAGTGTGTACATGCACACACACACACACACAGAGAGAGCAAGAGAGAGAGAGAGACAGAGAGAGACAGAGAGAGACAGAGAGAGAGAGAGAGAGAGAATATTAATAAATAAGTAAACAAAGACTACATAGGAATAAGCCAGTAGGACTAATTCTTAAGCTCCTAAAGATGTTCATTGTTCCTTTGTTGCTATGAAATAAATAAATAGGTGCTCTCAAAGTAGATGTTTGCACACATTGACTGAAAAGACCTCAGATTTGCAATGCCTTATTTAGGCAGTAAATGAGGGGAATGAAATGTTTCTTACATGCTTTCTTCTATTCCAATGGAGTTGTTTTTATTCCATCCACCCACAGGAAATGTCTATAGCCTTGTTAAACCAGACTACTAAAGGTTGTTCCACAAACGAGCCACACTTGTCTCTCCCTTGAAATCCAGCTGTGCTTACGGGAACCAGAGACCTGAGGTTCAAGGATTTTGACCTTCTGCTTCCTAGATGCAGTGTGTGGGCCACCCACTTTGTGAAGTGTCCTTAAAATATTTACTCTTGAAATCACTTTTTCAATCTTTTAAGTCCCAGTATTTTCCAAGGATGTCTGTCCTCTTCCCAGTGCACAGACTCTCATCAAGTGACGTCATCTACTGCCTCAAATTCTATTATGTTGTGTTTGATCATCTGCACAATGATGATACTTAAAATCTTGGCTCCATCACGAGCTGAACTGAACATCTGAACATCTGCACATCATTTAAACACATTTCGCCACCAGGTGTCCTGGCCAGAAATCTGAACGCTATCTATGACCCCTCTCCCCCATCTTTAATCAATTAGCTGTCTAGATTCCTCCCCTATCTGTGCCGTTTGTCTCCAGGATTGATTCTGTAAATGTCCTAGCCATCCCTCCTGTACCCAGTCTTTGCCTTTTGTGACCAATTTCCCCACTCTTGCCAAAAATTATCTTCCTAAAATGCAAATCATACTATTTTCTTGCTCAAAACTCTTCTCTGTACTCCTTACCCTCTGGATGGGGTTTATCTTACAACTGTTCTTATGATGTGGCTGCTATTAACTGATCATGTGCACCACTTGGCAAAGCTGTACAGCCTTATTCCAGCCATACACAAATGTCCATTTCCTTTGGTTGACTGTCATGCTTGTCCTGGTCTCTAGATCTTTACACATGCCGGCCTCTTGAAATATTCTTTGTTTTCTCTTTCATTGCTATCTGAAATTTCACTCAATTTCTCTGTGTCTCAGATGAACAATCTTCTGTGCTTTAGGTTGCAAAGGGACCAAAGCCTAAGATTCATTATGTATGATATAAATTACATGTTCCTCATGTGTAGACCTTAGGATTCTGTTGTTTTCGTCTTAGAATATGTTAAAACGGATTGTTTGCAGAGTTATAGCCACCTAGCTCATAAATGCAAGAACTAAATGTGCTGTCAGATGCTAGCATGATATTAGACAAATGGGATGTATGCAAAGAACACTGGGAGCAACAGGGGACCGATATCCCAGCATTCCGTAGAAGACCTATCACCTTTTCGAAAGAAGAAGGGCAGAGCAAGTATCAGATCATCAGGTTTTTCTCCTTCCTGTCTCCTGTGGGCTTTCTCGTGACATCTGTCACAGTCCTGCCTGCATCACCCTGGAAGCTCTGCCAAACTGAACATTTTCCTGAGTGGTCAGTAAAGGGAACACCTATGGCTTAATGATGTGTGCTGCAGGAATGATGCAGTTTAGAAAGTCTCAAATGACACTTGAATCTGAGAAAAACTATTACAAATACATTATACAAGTCCAGTTCCATGGTATCTGTGAGCTCCTCTGTTTTACCTTTATCTGTGCAACTTCCTGTTACCTCATTAGGTCTTCTCCCTTACCTGGACTCTGGGTGCTCAGAAACATCATTCATGTCAGGCACAAGGCTCCATTTCATCATTCTGAAAAGCTCATCTAGGCACATAAACCCAAACCGTCTTCTTTCAGCTCTGCACTTTGGTACCAATGCCTGTTGAGCAGCTCAGATCTAAGGTCCCACAGACAACTCTCAGCACATATGCACAATGCACTTGGCTTCTGCTTTTGCTACTGTTGACCAAGCAATACTCACAGGCCAATATATAGTCCCAGGAGGCACTCAACAATTACCCTCTCCCCTTACCTCTGCTACATAGTTCTACACGCAGTGAATTCAGAAAAGCTATGCATATAGCTTTAGTTCTCTCTGGTGACTTACTACTTGGTTGTCTCAACTGCATTTAGAGTTTTTGCCATACATTGGAATTAAAAAACCAAAATAGAACTTTATGGTTTTGTCTTAACTTCTATAACTACCTTCTAACTCCTTCCCACATTAACCTTGTCCACTTCTTGTATCTCCTGCCATTATATTTATGGCCTCTGGGGCTCTAGGCAGATCCAGGGCCAGAGCCACTGTCTGCCTGTCTCTATCACAGATATGTAACTTTGGAAACACCTATAAGCAAAGCCAGGTGAGTTTCACCTGGAATAGCCACCCGTTTTATTCCTATTTTTCTTTTTATAAATTTCCACTTCCCTGACTCTACTAAAACCCCCAGTCCCCCCCCCGATTTCCACTCACCCATTCTGCTCGGAAAGCACTCCCCACTCCTGGACAAGCTGGAGTTGGGTTTAGCCCATACTAGACCCTTTTATTTGCAGCAGTTGGCTTTTGATTAGAACCTGGTCTTACCTTTCATTTGGTGTCTGACTTGGTTCATCTTCCACAATGCACTCAGTGCTAGCCATTCTTGCATCCTGGAGCATGTGATTCTTGAGATTCATGGGGGACAAAGAGGCTGAGAGTCTTGAGGAAAGCCAGTTGGCAAGAGGGGAACCAAGTTGGAATAAGCCATTGTTGGAGGAGAATGTGGCTCAGATAAACACATTATCAGTGACATGTTTTAAAGAAAGAAAATGTCTAACGAGGAGAATAATTTAAATCCTCAGTTGAACCTTTTTGAAGCTTCATTTCATGATGCAGATTTTTAAATAAATATTCTGACCCTGTAAACTTAATTTCCTGCCTTTTTGCTTAAAAAATTCACTATTTTCTCAGCTGTTATAATTTGGTTAAAAAATGTCCCCTCTCCAAGACTTGTAGGGTTAACAATAATATTTTCAGAGGTGAGGTTCTGGGGAAGTGATTGGATCTTAAAGTACTGAACCAGTATCAATGGCCTAATCTGTTAATGAATCCACAGTTGAATGGATTATCAAAATGTAGTGGAAACTATAATGCTGGGCCTGGAGGGAGGAAATGAGTCACTAGAAGGTGACCTCGTTCCTGCCTGTCATCATCTATGCTTGTGAGCCTTCAGGAGTTGGGTGAGCTCTTGTCTCATACTCCTCTGCCACATCAGTCTGCTCTGCCACAGGCCGACGGCAAAGGAGCCAGTACAGCATGCTCTGAAACTTCCAAACAACAGACCAAAATAAACCTGTTCCCCTTTAAGCTGATTGTACTCCATGATTCTGTCCCATCCATGAGCAGCAATTAATAGTGAACCATTAATTTATTCCTATCCATAAAAATAATTATTGCTAAAATCAGTTTCATCATGCAAGAAAACAATGATGTAAGAAAATTTATTATATAACATAATTTTGCTATTTATATTTATGAATATGACTTAATTCAGAAGTCAGAAACTGCTCATTTATTCCTTAGCTATTTTCTAGTCTTTAACAATTGTTTCCTTTATAGCTATATGAGGAGTTTTATAATTTAGCCTTAATTGATTAAAGTCCACCAAAAAATTTGCATTAAGACAAATAAGATAAAAGATAGCAGATATAGTCAATAGATTGACTGAGATCAATTCATTTAGAATCAACACATAGCACATTCCAAAAGTAAGCAGACATCAGATTTAAACTGAATAATCTTAATGTGGCTTAGTAATTGCATAAATGATCAGTGATTTTCCTTGCAAGTGCTCTGAGGGCATGCATTTCATTATTTGTTGTTTTGTCTTGCTGAAGTAATAGTCTTGTTTTAGTAAGAATGGGGAATATAATCATGTCGGGGCAGTGGTGGGGAAAACATTTCTTTCTGGTGCAGAGAGTTTCTGTCTCTGTGGCTAATGACACACAGTCAACTGCCAACTAGGACTAGAACTGTATCTTGGCACATGTGGGCAAGTATAATGCTTATTAATCCAAAAGATAAGATGCTATTATAAAAATAGAGGTAGAAAATCCTAGCTAAGTTAAGATTCAGAAAATTTTAAATATTTGATTCAGGCAATACTTACTATATCAAACATTAATTGTAATAACTACATGTAAGGTAACATAAACCCAAGACATTGACCAGATCAAAAGGTATCAGATTCCATGACCACTAGACCACTTTGCCTGAATTACCATTCTCTGACTATAGATGGGTGCATACCCTCATTACATGAGTGCTTGTTTATTGTTTATATTAGAAAAATAATATTTCTTTAGAGATTTCATATAGTACTTCAAATTGGGACTATTTGTAAGGATTCAGTCAGCTACAGTCTCCTTAAGGACCACTTGAAACGTCTTTTGCCTGTTTCACAGATAGACCTGTAGAAGAGAAAAAAAAAAGAAAAGAAAATACATTCAATAATGCATCAATACAGCTGAATATCAAAAGGAGAGGTTGAGACTTTATTCAGTGCTTTCTTCTACTGTGTGAACTTTTGCCATGACAATGATCTTGGCATACATTAATCTTGCTTATATTAGCAATGCTTTTTTAAAAATAGTATATAAAATTTTGGTATCGGCAAGAAACCCTAATCAGAATGTTATTTTGTATTTTTCTGCTTCATGTCATATTTATATCTAATATTTCTGGCTCACCAACTAAACTGTAAATATTTTTGAAGAGGAGTATCAATCTCCACACTGCTAAAGGGCTTGAAAGAATACTTTGCATACAGCAAATTGCTCAATAGATACTTATTTAATGAGAGAGAAGGAAAAAGGGAGGAAGCATGGGAGAAAACAGGAAGAGGGGACTCCAACTCTTTGTGCATAATTCTTCTTTATCCAAAATTAATTATCTACTCCCAACAACCCCAGCTCACTCATTTATTGGACTAATTGCTATCACCCTTCAATATAATTCTCTCTGGATTCTTGCTTAGAATTGCTGGTGCGCACACATATCCTAATGATGCTTAATAGTCTGAATTTTGGCAAGATGATTGTTCATTATGTATCCTGTCCATGCTTTTTTCCACATGATTTCCTTGTTGGCAAACTGTACTATTTGCCATGCCACCTACAACTGTGGTGTGCCATTTCCCAGTGTATTTCCAAAGCCATTTACTAGAAATGAATGACCAGTATGACAATGTTTCTAGGAGATCTTGGATTGAAGAGCAGTCTACCTATATGCCACGCAAAGAACATTGGAAAAACTACAGGGTCATGATAGTTATAACCAAGCGGTAGAATCACGCTGTGGAAGACAGGTACAAACAGAGAGAAAATCTGGAAGGGCTTAGATCTTAGAGCAAGGAAAGACAAGATTTTTAAACCACACTTTCAAACAAAAGGTCTTAGAGGAAGGGAAAGGAAGGGAAGGGAGGGAAAGGAAGGGAGGGAAGGGAACAGGGAATGGGAAGGAAGAAGAGGGGAAGGGAAGGGTGGGGAGGGAGAGGTTAGTGAAGGGAAGGGACGGGAATGTAAGGGAAGGGAGGGGCAGTGAGAGAAAAGGAAGGGAAGGGAGGGGGAAGGAAGCAAGGGAAGGGAAGGGGAGGGGAGAAAATGGGAGGGAAGAGAAGGGAAGGGAAGGGAGTGGAGGGGAAGGGCAGGAGATGGGAGCGGGAAGGGAAGGGAGGAGATGGGATGGAAGGGAAAGAGAGGGGAGGGGAGGGGAGGGGAGGAAGATAATGTTGGGTACTTGACACAGACTATTTTCTCTTGAAGTCACGAGCAATATGTACTTTAAACAATCTGAACGATGAGCAGTTGCAGAGAGTACCCACAGTTACACGCCATTGATAGTAAGTGCCCTGAGCAAACATACCGGAGTAGATCAGGGTAGGACAAGAAGAGCATGGGACACAAAGAAGATCAGCAGAACCTGTACAATTGAAAGAAAAGAGGTAACACACTGGATCTAGAACAGAAATACAATTTCCCCTTGGCTTAACCCATTCCTTCATACAACTAATCACAATTAATATCACACTTGCACTTACAGTAGGTAGAGTATGTGCAGAATGATAGCTGCGGGTTAGCTGTTTGACAGTGTGTAGCTTATCCATTTACTCTCAGTTTTAAAGTTTCACTCATTTTTAAATAAAATATAGAGGAAAATGCCTCCCTGGGTCATATTCCTGGAAGAGGTGAACACTAGGATGACCCCCAGCGATACTGTAGTCACAATCCTGAGGCTCAACATGAGTTAGACAGAAGGCCAATATATGTACACATATCCATACATGTGTGTGTACCCACACATGTACTCTCCAGACATATGTATATGCAAAATAAAAGTGATTTTTTTACAGTATCCATCGGCAAGTTCTACTTCAACTAGATAGCAGAAAACATTGACATTCTGTCATTTCACATAATTCATTAGTGAACTTGGAAAAGCATGGGTTATGTTTTCATCTGACTAGAGTTCAATTCTCCTTATAGGTGTGATCACAAGTGAGTTAACATTTCTCTTCACTCACAAAGAATGGCAATAAGCAAACCGTCTCTGGAGTATCAATAAGGAATGGCTACTTAGAATTTTTATAGTTTTCATACATTTGGACTGAACATGGGTGTTGTTTCAGAAGTGGAAAATGGGCAATGCTGGAGAATGTGTACATTTTTAGAACTCTTCCACATTGTAAGGTTTAGATAGAATCATGATGTATTCATGTTTGAGTGCTCATTAAAGCCTGAGGTATTAAAGATGCTGAGATGTATCCATTCAGTCCCCCATTAAATTTATTTACTAGACATGTTAATTGTCATACACAGGTATCTATTAAGTAAATATTTAATGAATAGTTATAATGTAAAATAGGAGTATGAAGACTAAGTTTTTCCTAGTGGTCCTTTTAAATAGATAAAAGCAATTACTGAGTTCTCTATAAATAGTAAAACTTTAGAAGATCATTTTAATTACTAACAGTGGATTATTCTCTGTGTCCTAGTATAAAAGAGAATGTCAGATTTAATCTATGTCTCAGAATACAAAGAAAAACCACGTCTTCACTCTGAACAATGTTTAATTATACTAAAGATGATATACAGTTCTGAGATATTTAGTCAACATTTCAAAACAAGTCATCTTGAAGGAATTTGGCAGCATGTTTTGAACAGTTGTTCTACGTTTAAATAGCTTACTATGAGACTGAAGACATGCCTGATGTAATTACTAAGCAATATTTATTTTATTCTGTCAAATATCTAATTTTTATGTTTATCATATATGCCTCCCTTAATTTTCTGGATGACTTTGCTCATAGATAATAATTTGGAACACAATGTAAATATAATGAAGTCAAGTTGAAGTTTCTATTAAAACCAGACCTCTTGCCCAAATGTATTAGTGTCTCTGTTTCTTTCTCTGTCAGTTTCCCTTGTTTTCCCTATGCTACACAGTGCGGTGGAATGATTCCTCTCTTTATGCTGTGTATATGCATATTTCTTTCACCTTATAGCTTTTTAACTTCTGTTATGATTTGAAGGTAAAATGTCCTTCGGGGATGCATGTGGTGGAACATTTTATCCCCTGGTGGGTGACATTGTTTTCAGAAGCTGCAGAATCTTGGGGAGGCAGAGTCCAATGGGAGGAAGGACATCACTGGACATGGTTCTTGAGGTGTTATGCTCTCATTCTACTTCCGGTGTTGTCTGCTTCCTGGACTGTGATCATGTGAGGAGTCCCAGCCCTAGGCTCTTAACACAGTGAATTCCATGATGCCTTCCCTTTCATAATGAACTGTTCCCTTCCCAACCATGAAATAAATAAAACCTCTCCTCCTTTAAGTTGATTCTTGTCAGGATTTTGGGACAGCAATGGGAAAAGTAACAACCACAGTTGCCGTAGAGGTGGAGAAATTCCCCAGCAGAGCACATGGCCTTAGAGCAGGTTAGGATGCAGATTGTTAACTGTGTGTTCTTTTGAAGAGAATATTTTAAAACCTTAGTTTATTAAATCAGAATAACAATACATATTGTCTTGGTTACTTTTTTATTCCTGTGACAAGACACCATGACCAAGGGAGCTTTTAAATGGAAACATTTAATCTGGGATTTAAGATTCCAGAGGTTAGTAGAGTCCATGACTGTTATTATTGGGAACATGACAACAGGCAGGTGGGCATGGTACTGGAGCAGTAGCTGAGAACTCACATCTGATTGAGAAGCAAGAGGTGGTGGGGACCGGTGGGGAGATGGGAAGATCTTGCAATGATATGGGCTTTAGGAATCTCAAAGCCAACCCCAGTAACACACCTTCTCCCACAAGGCCACATCTCCTAAAACTTCCCAAACTGTTCCTCCAACTGGGGACTAAATATTCAAACATATAAGACAACGGATGACATTCCCCTTCAAAACACCACATGCATTAAGTTTCCAGCATGATTAAAAGAAATTTTATATGGCATATAACATTTAAAGTTTAATAAGTGTCAGTTTTCTTGCATATTCCTCTTTAAAAGGTGTATATGTTTTTTTCAAAAGCCTTAAAATGTCAAAGACTTTAAGGTGAAGTGGCATGCTGTAGTATTAAATATGCTCTCCAAATATACTCTGTGGGTCCGTTTTATGCTAGGCTATGTGACAGTTTTTCTAATTTACTAAATTAAGCCTCTATCAGAATGCTTGCAGACTCTTTCAAAAAGAAAGATTTATTATGCTCCATTTATAGGTTTCTGTGTTTAAACCTTGTATTCTACCTTAGTATCTCCCCAGCTTCTGCAACCCTTCCAAGTTAGACACACCAAGGATTTACAACTAATATCTACATAGGACCAAAACATTGAACATTTGTCTTTCTGAGCTGAGGTTATCTTAGTCAGGATATTTTTCAGTTCATCTATTTGTATTGTGTATTTGGACAACATTTCCATTATCCATTCATCAGATGGACACCTAGGCTGTTCCTGTTTCCTATCTGTGATGAATAGATTATGTCTGAACATGGATGTGCAATATGTCTGTAATATGGTATGGACCCCTTTGGGTATATGCTCAGGAGTGGTATAAACCGGATTATATGGAAGTCTTGCTTTTAGAATTTTTTAAAATTAAATTTGTTCATTTATTTTACATCCTGACCACAGTTTACCCTCTGTCCTCTCCTCCTATTCTCTCCCAACCCCTCTGACGATCCCTTCCAAACCACTCCACCTCTGTTTCTGTTCAGAAAGGGGCAGGCCTCCCATGGGTGTCAACAAAGCATGGCATATCAAGTTATGGTAGGACTAGGCTCCCCACACTTGTGTTAAGGATGAGAAAGGCAACCCAGTGTGAGTCATAGGTTTCCAAGGACCAGCCAAAGAACTAGGGACAGGTCCTGCTCCCACTGCTAGCAGTTCCACAAGTAGACCATGCTACACAGTAGTCACACATATGTAGAGGTCCTAGGTCCATCCCATGCAGACTCCCTAGCTGGTGGTCCAGACTCTGTGATCTCCTATGAGTCCAAGTTAGTTGTTTCTGTGCATTTCCTTGCAATGACCTTGACCCCTCCTCCTGGCTCATACAATCCTTCCTCTTTCTTTTCAATAGGATTCTCCAAACTTGACCCAGTGCTTGACTGTGGCTCTTTGAATATATTTCCATCAGTCACTGGATAAAGGTTCTCTGATGACAATTAGGGAAGTTACCAATCTCCTTATAGGAGATGGCCAGTTCAGGCTACCTATTCACTATTGCTAGGAGTCTTAGCTGAAGGCCTTCAAATTTCCTGATGTCATTGTTTTTAACAGCTGAGTAATACTCCATTGTCTAAATATACCACATTTTCTTTATCCATTCTTTGGTTGAGGGGCATCTAGGTTGTTTCCAGGTTATCACAATTATGAATAATCCTGCTATGAACACATTTGAGCATGTGTCATTGTGGTATGATTGAGCATCTTTTTGGTATATGCCCAAGAGTAGTATAGCTGGGTCTTGAGGTAGATTGATTCCCAAGTTTTTGAGAAATTGTCATATTGGTTTCCCAAGAAAGCAACACATATAAGAATCTCAAGAATAACCATTAAGATAATCTTAAAAGAGTACATGTTCATCAATCTAATGAAGAATTAAAGTGATAAAAGGATAATATAAAGAAAGACAGAAAATGAGGACTTTTTCAGCTCCCTCTTCTGTGCTGATCCCTGAGAGTTGGGAGAAGTGTAATGGAATAGAGGTCCAATTTAGAGCTAAGCATTCTATCTTTGCTATTCTCTTCATGTTGACCAGTTGTAGGTCTCTGTATTAATCACCATCTACTACCAAAAGAAGCTTCTCTGCTAAGGGTTGAGAGATGGACTTATCAACAAATATAAAGATATGATTTTAGGGGAAGTTTATTACCAAGTTCATTTAGTAGAACAGTAGTAGGTACTTTCTAGGACTTCTGACCTAGTCAATCATGTTTTTTGGCCCAGTTACGGATATAGGGCATTAGTTTTATCTTGTGGAGCAATCTTTAAATCCAATCAGAACATTGCACCACTATTGCACCAGTGGCTATATCTTGCCAAGCCAGTCATTATTGTATGAGTGAGATTGTTGATTAGTCTTCTCCTCTAGCACTGTTCACAGCACCTTCCGAACTATGAAAGCTAGCCAGTGTGGAATAAGCTTGATTTCTTCAACATCCTATGACTCGTGTATGTAATATCTTCAGCAATAGGGTCTTACCATGATGCGTTAGAGCAGTGGTTCTCAACCTGTGGGTCACAACCCCTTTGGCCATTGGCTATGCAGGAAGTATAGGCAGGACTAACAGAGAGGAGAAAAGAAAGAACAGGAAGGTGGAAGGAGACACTGCCAACCACCACCATGACAAGCAGCATATGAAGATGCCAGTAAGCCATGAGCCACGTGGCAAGGTATAGATTTATAGAAATGGATTAA